CAACAAGACAACACTAGCAACAACAAGACAACACCAGCAACAACAAGACAACACTAGCAACAACAAGACAACACCAGCAACAACAAGACAACACTAGCAACAACAAGACAACACCAGCAACAACAAGACAACACTAGCAACAACAAGACAACACCAGCAACAACAAGACAACACTAGCAACAACAAGACAACACCAGCAACAACAAGACAACACTAGCAACAAGACAACACTAGCAACAACAAGACAACACTAGCAACAACAAGACAACACCAGCAACAGTAGAGACAATAACCAGTTCATTTGACTAACAGGAAGAATACAACAATAACAACATCAGCAGCAACAACAACACTATCAACAACAAGACAACACTAGCAACAGTAAAGACAACAGCAGTTCATTTAACTCACAGGAAGATTAGAAATGTTGTTCCCTTCGATATTGAATTCATCAATACCACTACAGTTGATAAGTGTTTCAGGTAGAGACGACAATTGGTTGTATCTGAATACGTTCATAGAGCATAATAAAAAGTATGTTTTTTTAATATTATGAAGATGTATTTTTATTTTTTAACATAAACAAAAGATCATGAAGGATGCTTGTTAGCCTCCTTTGCAGACATTATTATTATCTGTCATTTGTACATTCCCTCTCCACTAACGTCTGCTCAATGGAGCGATGGATCCCATTCCCTTTGTTTGACAAAAAAAACTGCTTAAACAATGAAATCCTAGAATCACTGTCACTGTCTCACATCAATGGAGAGGGAACATATATGACCAATACAAGTAATGTCTGCAAAGGAAGCTACAATAGATGCTTGTTGACAACGGCCCTTCTTGCAGCCTTTCTGTACTAGGCTATTGGTTAAGTAATTTACCTCAAACCCAGTCTTGTCATAGCTTTCAGATTCCCTATGGTTTCTGGTAGTTCAGATATGTCATTATGCTGTAGGTCCAGCGATGTCATATGAACGCAGTTACCAATGTCTGATAAATAAGAGAAATCAACGTGTGAATGTTCCTAGTCCTCTTTTACTGAAGTTTTGGCTTTTGGACTACTAGTACTGGTAAAATCAAGTTTATAATCAACTCAACAACTGTTGACATGTTGCAAATGATTGAACATAAATGCTGAGACTGGAGCTATACTATTACATAGGTAAATAGAAACTGAAATACCTGCAGGAAGATGTTCAATGTGGTTATGAGAAACATCTAAAGTAACCAAGTGAATAAGCTGACCTAAATAATTCAATAATATAACATTTCAAGATTTGTCTTGATTTGAATACGACTTTAACTTTGATTTTCTCTTAAAAATAACATTTGATCTTGAAGGTTTTTTTTTTGCAAAATATGCTTTAGCTTATGTTGGAATTTGATAAGCAAAATAATATATTCGCATCCAATCTTTATGGGCTTTAAAACTGCTCCCTTGCAGCTTGCAATTTTAAATGCCCATATATATATAAATGCCTCAGATTTTATTAGCTGCCTCAACAGTCAAGTCTGACATTTAAGCAATAGCTTTCTTCCAAGTGCCTGGGTTTCATGCAAAGCATCTTGCAGTGATTCCTTCAAACCAAGATGTACAACAATACTTGCAAGTTGGCTATTAGGAGTCAGAACGAAAACAGTTTTGCCATGTATTTTGCTAATACTGCATGACATGTATCAAATGTTACTTAATATAAAAGTTTCCTTGCAAATACCTATGACAGAAGGAAGGACTTTGATTTTATTTTCTCTTAGACTCAGTCTCTCTAATAGCTGTAAACACAATAAAACACTAATGAGAAAAAAAAAGAAATGTTGTTGAAAAAATAGAAATAACAATAGCATTTTTACTACACTTGTGTGAATTCTTGCGCGTTGATTGACTGATTAAAATGTGTCAATAAGAGAACATGCACACTGTGCTGAGACCATGATCACATCCTGTGAGCGCTCAATAGTCTTCTTCACGGTTACCTGCGCCATCTTGAAAGGTAGCCGTGCCTTTGCATCGAAGCAAGACAACCGTTGAGCGTGCAATGATAGAAACCTGTCAAGAATTGTCTGTAGGTGTGAAAGAAGGTTTCTATCATTGCACGCTCAACGGTCGTCTCGCTTCGATGCAAAGGCACGGCTACCTTTCAAGATGGCGCAGGGAAMCGTGAAGAAGACTATTGACAGAAAAGAATGATTTTTGCTAACTTTTAAACTTAAATGTGGTAAAAACAAATTGAGCAGAGTTTTGAGTGGTTTGTCCTCTTGTTGACACACTCCTGACATCATAAGATGCTCAAAACTTTGCAGTGAGCCCATTCGTTAAGATCATGGCTCCACTTCAGTTCTGAACATTTTATGACGTCAAGAGTGTGTCAATAAGAGGACATACCACTCAAAACCATGTGCAATTTGTTAAATATATAGTTAAGTGGACTATAAAAATCATATTTTTTACCTTCAGGTTGCCAATGCCTGGATCTACAACAGCTATTCTATTGAATCTTAGATATAATGTTGTCAGAGATGTTAACTTGTAAGTTACACTAGGAATCTGCAAAAGATAACGAGAAATAAATAAATGGACGAATGAAGGGATAAATGAACAAATGAATGGATGAACAATTGAATGGATGAACAAATGAATGGATGAACAATTGAATAAATGAATGAATGAACAAACCAATTGATGAAATGGATGAATACATCAATCAATGATTATGACAATTGTCTCATTTCATCTCTCTGCTGTGCTTACCTCTTTGAGTTTGTTATGTCTTAAATCAAGGAGTTTTAACTTGGTAAGTTTTACTAAGTTATCTAGATATGAAAAAAAAATTGAAAATACAAATTAAATTGAGTATTCAACTATTGTTGATTGTATAATATTAGATTCTTTGCAAGCTCTTAGACTGGTCAACAACAAATTGATGATGCCATTCAATCTTGCACAAACTTTGATAGGCATACACTCTGTGCACAAATAGCCGAAAAAAACTTAGAGAAAAATATTATATAAAACAAATAAACTCCTTTTTCATTATTTCAAATAATAGAGTAAACACAGGAAAACCATGAAATAAAATCAAGATGAATTAAAAATAGTCTCATGTGGATTCATCTTCATTGTGTTCTAGTTCATTGATAATAACAATTTGTCTCTGAAAAGCCGCTATCTGTTAGTATTTAGTTTGAATTTATTTCATGGTTTTCCTGCGTTTGATCTAACTTATTAAATAGTAACCAACAGAAATGTATATTTTGGATACTGAATTCTTGAAGGGAAGGCTGTATTAAAAAAGGTTTTGAAAAGATGTAAAATATCCCAGTGTGTTTTTCACAATTGTACCTGGCAAATTCACTAAGTTGTTTTCACTCAAAGCAAGTGTTTCCAAATGAGTCAACAAGCCGACTTCAGATGGCAAAGATGCAATTCGATTGCCATAAAGATACAACTCTTTCAGATTCGTTAGCTGAAACAATTAAGATTATTAATAAGTTTAAACAACCCATGAACAATAAAATAAACAACCTACACAATGTAGTGTAGATTAATTAAGGGATTCACCATTTGAAAGGTGAAGGGGGGGGTTCAACCTTGTATACTTTTCTTTTTGTCTCAACAGCTTTCACATTATATGCATTTTTTCTCACTTGTATATATTTGTTTTTCAAATACATTTTGCTTTGATAAATTATATTTCTTTCTCAAATCCTTTTTATTTGTTTGTTTGATTTTGTTTGTGCATTTTATTCCCGGGGGGGGTACTCCCATATATTTGCTATACAGGGACGTGCCGCTGGCCAGGGTATGGTTTTTGGCCTTGCTGTCTTAAACAGGGTATACATTTTAGATAAAAGACCGATATAATTTTTTTGTGTAATGTTTTCATAAGAAATACCGTAGAAATGCCGTCTCACTGTCCCAGGATTAACGTGTTATCAAACATTTCTTATTGTCTTTGATGGATTTCAGTATAATTGCACTTTTGATGGTTGCGGCGCAGATAGCTATTCCTTATTTTTCCAATTTGTCTTGAACAGGGTATGGATTTTCACTTTTTAGTGTCTTAAACAGGGTCAGGGATTTAGACCGCTGGCGGCAC